AAGCACTGCTATTAATACAGAATGACACTGCATCCATCCCAGCAAGCAGTCTAGTTAGTCAGTATGAAGGTTAAGAAATGAAACAGGAGGATAAAGCCAGCACAAAGGAATTTGCTCAAGGCCAAATCTCAGTCAGTGATAGAATGTGAAGAAAACAGACATCCGTCAAATTGAATAGGTCTTGTTTAACCCAACTTTACAGAACTGTCCTTCATTTCATGGAAGGGCACTGCCTCTTCATAAAGCAATCTTTCCTTGTACCAGGCACTGTTTTGACCAGATACTGGTGGTTTAATTTCTGCAGTATGCAACTGTAAAACTGGTTGGTGAAAATACTCATTTCTCTCACTCTTTCTCTATTCTTCCTTTACCTTCAGAAATATACTGACTTGAGAGGGAGTATTTGAATACATACATCAAATTACAAAGAAGAATATACCATTAGAGCTCATGTTATCATTGTTTTACAGCAGAAGGTAAAACTGAGAGAAAAAATAATAAATCAGGAAAGTAAGAATAGAATAGTCCTATACAACTTTGCTAGAGGAAACTGTAAAGTGGCTAATTTTTTTTTTGTATGCTAATAATATTTTATTTGAACGTATTATAGTCCAATATAATGTATGATTTCTGTTTTAAAAAGAAAAAGTGTACTCCAAGCTTCATAACTTACATAATCTGTATATCAAGTATCTTTTAACCACACATATTCAAAAATAAACCTTTATCTTACTAAAATAACACTTCAGTGCCATTAGCAAAACAAATTACTTTATCTGTGGCTTTGTTTGAGTGTGCTTTTTTTTTTTTTTTTTTTTTTCTTCTTTCTTGGTACTTTATCATGCACACTAAGAGGAAGCACCTGGCGTAAAAAAAAAAACAAAGCAAATAATAATAATAAAAAAACAAAAACAACCCACAAGTATCCATAGATGCATGGTGTAGGTCTTCAAGCATTCTTAGCAATCCAATGTAGGGCATCAGTGGAGCTCAGTGTGAAAATCTTTTTGCTTGCTGATTGTACAGTGTCTACAAGGTGAAATATATAACTACTGTACTGAGCCAGCCTGTGTCAGAACTTCCCCTATCTCTTATCAGGGAGAGACAGAAAACTTTCCGTCAGTTTTATGAGGAGTAAGGCTGCAGAGGGTAGAAGATCTCTCAACATTAGCAAGACAAGCAGCAGGAGAAAACTGAACCTGTTCAGAATCAGAGTAGAAACAATTTGACTTATAGATACATGCTCATCATAAATGTAACAATTTAGCTTGAACTACTTGCTGAGTTTGACTTAAACACTGAGAGCTAGTTAGTTTATTACAATGATCAAATGACTCACTTCAAAACACAGTACAGAAACTAACATGGTAGTCTAAATTCGCTATACAGAAAGACTTGGTCGCTGTTGACCAAAGCTTGAGCAAAGCGTTAGCTGTAGGCTGAGCACTTTATCATCACTACATCTGTTTTCAATTTCAGTCTGTGAAAAAGCTGTATACTGCAGCTAATTTTCCCAAAGTTCCCCAGAGCTTGACATCACAGACAGCAATTGGTTTTGGTTCCTTGGTATTATTTACAGCACACCAAGGACATGAAACAGGTAGATGATCCAGCATTTCCAGTAATCTAACACGTTCCAGATGTACACAATCCTGAGCAATCTATTTACATGGCAGGGCAGTCCTTCATTACAGGTCACAAGCTTACTTTCCAGCTGTCCACTGTACTATGTGGCACACGGTACAGAGAAATCATGCTCTGTGATCATGCTCATTAGGGTAGCTGTTTTGTTGACAGTGACCAGAAAACTCCTTCCCATGGGTCTAAACAATCAGCACTGAAGGTAAGAGCCAGTTCTGATGGGTACCAAAAAGGTTCAGATATTGAGGGATGGTCAGACATGTGCTGAACAGAATTTTCTAAGAGAGATAGACAAAATAAGCAGCGGCAGAGAAGTGTTCTAATGTAGGTTTGGTCATTAAGAAAGAACATAGAGCTCTTTGTAGTTTAACTGTGCCAAATTAACATGCATCAATTACAACTCAGAACAAAGATCAGTGAAATTCTGGTCACCTACTCTTTTAATTCTGTTTAGCTCTCAGAGAATTTAAAGAAATTTAGGGCATAGAGGACAGACCACTACTTTTGTTTTGTTGTTCCCAGATATATTTCTGTAAATATAGACCAAATATTATACTAAGAACAAAGTTAAACAGTATCAATATTTACACATTTGGCAGTGCACTCAGTAGGCCACAAAGTCTAAAACCATCTGAGGTAGAAGAAATGAGACAAACTGCTGGGTTCATCGAATGGTTTTATGTCTCTTACAAAAACTATTTAAAATGCAGATCCGTGAAACATGAAAGAAAAATCTGACAGAAATAAGATGAACTATATTATTGCTTTAAATAAAAGTCGAGTATTTTTCTTGTAATTTAGGTCAAATATACTAATTTTCAAAGCATTCAATTAATTTCACATTTCTCCCCATGATAAGGACATACTTATTGCCTGGCATTTTTCTAACTCAAATGGATAACAATACTTTGAAAGGATAATCACAGCATGAGAAGCCATCTAGTCAAGTTTTGCAAATTTGCCCATTTGAGAACATCAGAGTTTCGTTATAGAAATTTGATAAAATATCTACCTTCTGATTCTCCACTTTGATTTTGTCATCAAATACCTACAGTTACTGAAACAAAGCTTGATGCCAAACAAACAACAACACATCAAAACCACAGCAACTACTGTGGACGTTTAATGAACAACCACGAGTTACAGTTTGGTAGCAATGTCTTTAACGTCTCTATACATTAAATACCCATGCTAGAGAATTGGACAAGTTGCTGAGGAGCCAGTACAGTGCGTGTGCAGTAAATCTGATTATCACGGGTTCCAATCAGCTGCCTAAAATGATACTCTTTAGCAATACATTTTGGGGCATGAAAACAGCCTAAAGTTATAAGTGATGAATTTTACAAAGAGCTTTCATGAGCTGTTAGCCTTCTGCATTGAAGTTCTACTGCTACGAACATAGAGAGGCAGATCAGTGTTTCCACCGCGGCCTCTACAAGCCTCCAGCAATCGTCTCCCATGTGACACCACAAGACTGGTGGGAAAACAGTTCTAATTTGCAGCTATATTGAACAAAGACAAAAGAGAGACTTCAGCTTAACAGGAAAAACAAAACAAAACGTATGGTACGTACAGTTATTACTGCTGGTAAGAACTTCACGGACTGAATCAAAATTGATTGGCTATATGGAACACATAATAGCAGCTTAGCCATATATTTACTGATTTAAAATATGTGGCTTTATCATTTCTTGCAACATTATTGCTGTCTTCCATGAGTAAAGGGAGATATTGACCAGGCATTATCCATTTTAATTTTTAGGGGGCTGATTTATTTTTGAATTCTAAAAGGATGAGTGATGGGCTGAAGATATTACCACAGAATTAAGTTTCCCTTCGAAACATTTCTGGTAAATGAATGAAATATTTTCATTTCAGAATCAACTTCTGTGCATGGCCTCATAAGGAAAAAGAAGATGTATAAGATACATGACCCCAAAGGGGAACAAATGCTTCAATGTATTTTTCTGACCAGATTTTTGTAGTCAAAGAGCCAAGCAGAGGCATGCAGAGTGTTAAGCAGTTGTGTTAGGATTAGGATGCATTAGGATGTGTACCTGCCACACCACACCTGCACACTTGGTCAGAAAGAATCAAAATATTTGGTTAAATACATCTGTTAGGTCCATATGACATTGCTGGAACTGCACAAGGCTATTTTCTAGAGGGGAAGTAACAAAAAACATTCAGAAGTAGAACGCGACTTGGGAGTCATAATATTTGTACTGAAACCGAAACCATTTTGTAAAATACTGCATAAGTGTAAAACAAAAACGTATGTCATAGTTGTCCTCTCTTCCTGCTGTAATCCCTCCAGTGTGCTTATGTAAAAGATGTCAGAGAACTAGCAACTCTATAAATTCTAGTCTGCATATATCACTTAGGGATAGCTGCTTATCTGTGCCCAGCAATGAGAAATACCTTTTACATCATCTGTCCAATGCAAAGAGCAACTACTTTACACAGAGTTTGAACTGTTATTTTTGGGTGGGGACGGGTGGAGAGAAGTTAGCAATAGATAGGAAAAAGAAGCAACTTTTTAATGCTTTTTTTTTTCTTAAGGTACGTTCTCCTCTTGCACAGTGCAGAAACACAAATAAGATATTATCACAAGACAAACAGAATACCACATAACATGTAAAATACAGAGTACCAACAGAGGCCTACAAAGCAAATGCTAACTTTAATGAACATTTTGATGGTCCTCATCATTCTACTGGAGAGATTTTTGAAGCTGTACATACTGAGACAGACAACCTTTTTCCATTAGAATTCTCTTATTTTAAATGTTTCTATACAGTTTCCTTCTCATGGATAAAGCAAATGACTTCCAGAATGGAAAGCTGTCAACAAGTAAAACAAAGTCATTCACTCTTGAAAAATTTCTCCAATTTCCTGCTTCTAAGGCTCAATTCATTCATTTCCACCATGATGAGAGGTGTTTCGTAAGCACAAAAACATGGCATCCCTCATTAAATCTTCTGCAGCAAAACCCTGGTTTGGCTATATTTCATAGGACCTCTTTAAAAAACATAGCCATTATTTACAATGACAATTACAAAATTGTAATGGTGAAATCTGGTAAACACATTAAGGTATGAAATATTCATTTCATAGCATAAAGCATAACATACTGAAGCCATGGCACAGGTTGCCCAGAGAGGTGGTGGAAGCCTCGTCCCTGGAGACATTCAAGATCAGGCTGGACTAGGCACTGAGCAACCTGATGTAGTTGTAGGTGCCCCTGTTCATTGCGGTGGAGTTAGATAAGGTGACCTTTAAAGGTCCTTTTCAACTCCAATGACTCTATGATTCTACATTTCTGAGGTGGTCTTGCCCCTTCTTTTTTCTGCTCTTACCTTGGCTGACTTGTCAGCGCTATGTTCTCGTTTTCCTACATGGTTTCCCATGATGGATCACCAGAACTTCAAATTCTGAAACAGAATAAAAACAAAACAGAGATTTTAGAATCAATACATTCGTTATGAAATACAAATTCATTTTTCATAGGATGAAACAAAGAAACAGCTCTCATACAATAAACAGCAATACTAGAAAGCTTTCCCTGCTCCAAAAAGACACAAAGGAAGAAAAATGAAGCATTTGATTCACACATAAGCCAGGAATACTAGCATTTAGGCAGAAGCCCTACTGTTATCAATTAATCTCTAACTGAAAATCTTCATAAGAGATCAGGTAAGTTCTTTAGAATTCAAATTTGCCATTACATAAACTGCAGTTGCCAATAACAACAGCAAAACCACAAAAAACCACCTTACTAAACTGCTAACAATTTGCTGTAGAGTAGGAATGGATATGTTCTTTATAGAACGCACTTTCATGGCAAGCACATAAAAAAGTAACACCAGCTCCTCTTTGAATGTTCTGGCTCACCACGTTGTATCTCAGCTCTAACAGGGCTTCTGCAGGTTAAACCACAACACTCAAATTTCAGCTTTTAGTTTAACACCTGTGGTTTCACTACATATTTCTTCCCGTAGAGGCATGTGTTTATTTAGAGTAAGTTGCACAGCTGCTTCCTTCAGACAGTTTAATGCAGTGCAAGGTGTCATTTAAAGCCCTGAAACATAAAACTAAATGCAAAAGAAGTTTCCAACGAACATTTCCCCCTCAGAATAATGAACTTTCACTCACGAAGTTCAGTTTAATGATATAGTCATAATATTTATTAGTCTGCAATAAATAGAATGCCATACACTCTTTATACCTCCTCTGGAGAATGGAAGGCTTTGGGAAGACCTCGGTGTGGTCTTCCAGTATTTAAAGAGAGCTTATAAGCAGGAGAGGGACTGACTTTTTACATGATCTGATAGTGACAGGGCAAAGGGCTTTAAACTGAAAGAGAGGAGATTTAGGTTAGAAGCCATGGGGAAGGTTTTCACAGAGAGGGTGGAGAGGTGCTGGAACAGGTTTCCCAGAGAAGCTGTGGATGCCCCATCTCTAAAGGCCAAACTGAATGGGGCCCTGGTAAGGCCTCCAAGGCGGGGGGGACTGGAACTGGATGAGATCTTTAACGTCCCTTCTAACTCAAACCATTCTCTGATTCCAGCATAAACAGCAGAGCAGAGCCCTAGTCCCAGACTGCCAAGGTAGAAAAAGATACCAGGCGCTGATGAACTACGATTGGTACCATGGTGTGAACCTAAATCAGACAAATGTTTAAAATAATTTGCTGGCCAGTGGAAAGAATAACAACATTTTCATGCTACCACAACCCGCAAATGATAAGAAAAGTTTTATTCTCAAGTGTCTGCACAAACAAAGCAAACAAGGTGGAACAACCAGCAAAGCGACAAGCATATGAAGTGGCACACTGAAGGCAAGCTGTTTGCCAATGCACTCCCAATTCCAGTCTGAATAAATCCATCAGAAAGATGCTAAACATTGCACACCAGAGGGAATTAAATACAAAGCCAGTAAATAGGCTTGGAGAGATGGAAATGCAAAACGCTATTCAGACTTCAGGAGTAGGAACTGAGAGTACACCTATGTCTGTGCCCAGCGTCAGGTTTCTCTACAGGATCTGATTCAAATTTCTTGTGTAAGGATAAAGCTACTTCCCGGCCAAGAAGACAAAAGCCTGTTTGAAAAAATACTTTAAAATTGACAGAATTCTTCATGCTACCTAATAAATGGAGAAATCTGTAATTAATCCTTCAGGGAAAAAGACTCAAAAATTTCACTCTGATGTGAATATGAAGTAGAAATGTACAGTGCAAATTGTTCTGTAGATACCTGCCTAGGAAGCAAAAACATGAATTTTGAGGGGATACAATGCAGATTTGCAATGATCAGAGAACAGCATCAGTACACACAAGCTGGGAAACACCAGAATGATTTACAGTGACAGAAAAACCCGATTTTTCATTTTACACTTGAGCAGAAGTCTAGCTTACTTGATTAAAAACCTGAGAACACAGGTCATTTTCACTTCAGAATGCAAGCGCAGGCTGCTGTTCAGACTTAAAGAGCAATTATTTGATTCTTGCTGCTCTGCGGAAGCCCCGCTGCACAGTTTCTGTGTGCGCTGATCTTTATGCAATGAGTTGAGTCACTGACTTCAATGGGATTACTCACTGCGCAATCCTTGTAGGAACCTGCAGCCAAGTATTCAAAGAATCCGAGGTAAAAGATTTGTATTTTCTTTTAGTCTCTTTCATAACATTCAGGTTGCCAGACTAAGCAGCTCTGCACACAGCAAAGCAGCAGTTATTAACAAGCATTAACCCATCCACAGCCTTGTTTGCAAAGGTGTCCTTACGTGCTTTAGCACTGATAAACTGTCACAGGAACAGTCATGAAGCTCCCAAAACAACGTGAAAACAGAACTATTATAAAAATGCAGGAATCCTCATTGAATCAAACATGAATCAGACATTACAGTGAGTTTCTAAAATAGGCCTGAGCACAAGATCAAGCTCATGACCACAACGGCATGAGCCCTCCCACCTTCCTGGAGAAACCCGTCAAGTTTCATAATTCCTGTGAGATGAAAGATTTGGCACATGACCATAAGTCACAGAACACAAGGAGACTCTATCAGTGCAGACTGGAAAGGATCAGAGTGTAGCAGCAGCTCCCCAGGAAGCTGAGGAGAGGCACTGCGAAGTGCCGTAGTTCTGCCCAGCCCAGGAACCAGCTGGATGGGCTCTGCTGCCAAAATCCAGCATTGCCCAAACACAGACTGATGCAGGAATTACTCCAACTATCCAGGCTGCTTCCAGTAACTCTAGGAAAGAGCCCAGGGATTCCTCCTGGGGAAATCAACTCAACTGCCTTCCCCTATCGAGTCACCTTCCTTGGAAAGCCAGGCTAGCAGGTAACCTGATGGTCAAGCCTTCCTTTCTGCTTTCTTCATGATAGGAAGCTGAATCCCAGCTACAAACACCAGAAACACCACTGCCTCACCCAAAGAACGAAACCTTCCTTGCTATTTGCTAAATGAATATCTGTAGTTTAAAAAACAGGGTTCTGATCATCTTTCCATACACATATAGTGTCCTATAGAGAGGTTTAAATTGTGATTCAGAATTTTCACTGAAAGACAGAAGAATGTTCCTCGAAACTTTCTGAATGTACCAAAAAACACACTGGTATCAGATTTTTGCGGGTTATGCTGTTTTGACTGCATACACTTATACACTGACAGGAGCCTGAGAAAAGTCCACTCCTAATCATCAGACTCTAAAGGTGTCTTCCTCATCATCACTTTTCTATACTCTAAATAAAATCAATATACTTCAGCCCAGGAGCTAGCTGACAGTAACAACTAAAAAGTGACACCAGTTCAGGAATTACACAATAAGCCAATGCTCATTCAATACAAGTCCACTCTATTGAATATTAATGGCAATTTAGTTTTGAAATAAATATACTACCTAATGTAAATCACAGGATGCCGAAAATGGATTGTTAAATATTATCTTTGAAAAGTAACTTAGTTATGTAAAATAAGGGTTTAGTCCAAGCTCTTCCCACGCACTTAAGTATGACTCAACAGAACTACACAGAATAGTAGAGGTATGTAAGTACTTACATATTTACAAGTACCAGATCATAATTACTACCTTGCACTACCTTGTCTAGGAATACATATTCAGCACAGAGTGATATTGGTGAGTAATGGTGCAGAGTTACACTGCTAGATACGTCTCCCAAGTGCTTACTCACATATGGGAAGAGTCAGCAGGGAATATTAAAATATATCAGGAATTTACTTAAAACTTCTTGCTAAATTAATGAATGTTCTTTTCTTTTTTTTTTACTACATTCAAATCATATTACTCAAAATAAAACAGTTTAATTACCTCGAAGAAATGAGTGAATTCTGTCTCATTTTGGTAGCCCGCTAATGTAGATACTTGGTTATGAACTTACCCAGCAGTGACACGCAAAACATTTGTTTTCCAGTGTCAGGCGCATGTTATGCTGCTGACGTACTGCCCAGTGCTTCCAAGAAGCTAATTGGAAATGCTGGAGTAGTTTCAAGGCTCTCAGTATGACACACATCTTTAGAAAGAAGCCCTTCAGCCTTTGTCTCAAAACAGATTGAAATACTGAGCAAACCTAAACTGCTTCTTCAGTATTCCCTCATCATGGTAATTTAGGAGTCTGATGTATCAAGAAAGAAAACCCGTGGCAGTCTCAGGTGAGTGACCTGTAGCTACTTGCATCAGCAGTCACAGCCAGAGATAGATGCAAGCAACCCCATGATAAAAGTAATTTACCTCAGGGGCAAACTGTTTCCTAGAACTTCCGCCCTCTTGAAATTCTAGTGTTAAATTACTTTATGAAACATAGTGCTTCATATCCCTTTCAAGTGTCATCATTATTTAATTTTTCATTAAACATGAAAGTGTGCAGTCCTTGCTAGACCAAACCTCATTTCACTTTTGACTTCCGCCACGGTATGACCCTGAGGAACCCTTCCTGAAAGAAACACACATTATTCTGCAGACATTTATCTATTGTGAATGATCAAGCCCAAGAGTTTAGTGGCATTCATAGTATACAGATCAGAAAAGTTACCAGCAGTTAGTACCAACATGTATTTTAAATTATGTTTGTACAGAACCTTGCATAGGAGAATCCTGGCCTTCTGGGCCTATCAAAACAGTACAGTCACTTTCATGCTTATAGGTAAACATGTGCTCCTTGGTGAGAACCTTAGACCTAAAATAGCAGCTCTCTAAGAGATGGGTTGAGTTCTGAAACACTGCTGATCTACAAAAGTGCTCCCTCATGCCCACACAGTATCTCAGCAGTTTACGTACACTTTGTGTACCATCACAAAATGCACCAAAATAATTGAAATGCCTGGACGTTTCTTCTTATTATTTTACCTTTTCTGACTGCTTTGATTACAGTTTTCTCTCTATCCTATAAGAACATCATCTTGCCTTTCATTTGTTGCATTTACTTATTTCCTGTAGCTTACACTTCTCACTTTTCTTCCTTTCTTCATCTAGTGCCAGCTGACAGAATAGAGAGGACCACATATATGCCTAATATACTCATTCCTTGAGTCTGATCCAAAAAAGAAAATGTTGCCCCACCATGCAATTAGGACTGATACGTCTATTCTTATTTCATTCATTAACACTAAAAATTTCATTTAATTTGTTACATACTGGCTTTACCAATACATCTTCACTTTTCATCCCTTTGGATAGCTGACTGAAAAACAAAACAGTAACAACAAAGAAAACCCAATATTTTCCCCCATAGTGCAGGACCTTTTAGGTCTGCACGGCATCCAAAACCAAGGAGTAAGCATCAACTCGTCACAACCCTCTGAAAATGCTCAGAGGCACAACGGCAGAATCGCTGGTGTTTTTTTCCCCAGCACTCATGCACTCAAGGGACAAAATATTTTGACTGCAGTTTAATAAATAATGAGGGGAAAAAAGACAGTAAAATAGACAGTAAAAATGGCAGAGAAAGAATGGACACACCAGAATCTTGCTCATTCTGCATACATACAGACAGCAAGTGCAGTATGCTCTTAAGACCAGTACGTTTCACTATCAGAACTTCTGCAGTCCCTTAACGATGTACACCCCTCTGGATGTCCCCCTCAAGAGCGTACTTCAGCAGCAGTGGACTTAACCTCTTGACCTCAATGAATCACACCTGTCCTAAATGCTAAAGTATTCAAAGTGAGAGAAATTAGTGAGCAAAGAAACATAACATAAATGTAGCATTAACCAGGAAAACAGAAAACAAGAAAAATGGAATTCAGTTTCACATGATAATTGCAGGCCACAATGATGATCTTCCTAGTAACACTGGTGGAGGAGGCAAAGAGCAATCAAGAAGTCATACAGCAAGAATTGTTATTTGCTACTTGGAGACTTCCAAGTTTTGAGTTTACAGTACTCTGCAACCATAGAAGATCTATCACCTGTTTGCACATAAAAATAGAGATACCATGAAAATCAGAACAAGATACATTTGAAGACTCACATTTTTCTGTGTCTTCACTTAGAAAAACAAGTAGTCCTCTCCCAGCGATGAGCAGTATATGTTCTCTTTATAAGCAAGACGGGTCACTGAGGCTCCCCAGCAACACAGCCACTTTGATGATCAGTGTTGCACTAACACACCACAGACTGATGTCAAAATGCACACCTGCAGCTCTGAATGCTCATGAATCAAAGGCACCATATGCTGGCTCTTATCTTCTCATGTTCAAGTGACTGACAGAACAAGAAGATGATTCATCCTCTCCAGACACCGTTAACATTACTGTCAGAAAACAATGAACCACTATATCTTTCTCATTTAAATAACAATAACCAAAAAAAAACCCTCTCTTTGCCCCACCTTTCTCTCTGTTCTGACATCATATATTATCTCTCCACACTGTAAACATACCCGACCTAGAGTTGGGTTTCCTGTAAATGCTCCTCTATTACATTTGGCATAAATATAGACATTACGAAAGACTCTGACTTTTCACCTTACTCCTAGCTGACTCCCTCTTGGCTCAGCCTACCACTTTAAAGCTACCTCTCCCTCCCCATAAAAATACTGCCAAGGAGGCACAAAACTGAATCTGGTTTTCCAGATACGAAAGCATGCATCCTTAGGTTCCTCACTGTTCATGTGTTAAGTTTCTCTCTTCTTTTTGCCTTCTCTTTTCCTAGCCTGATTGCCTGAGCGTTGATGAAACCATGCATTGAAAGCAATTTTTTTAATTTGAAGTAACTTCGTGGAAACTTAGCCCCCAAAGTTTTTAATTTGTGCTTAAGGTCTGTACTAAGATTCAAGGATCTTGTGACAACCTCCCAGTAGGTCACTATTATCCACAGTTCATTAACACAAGCACAAATGAGACTGTCCAGCACAAAGCCATTTGTTCAGCAAGCTGCAAGTGACACTCATGAAGTGTCAGCAGGTATGTGCAAACTGCTCTGCCTCTAAAATCAATAAACTAATTCCAAGAGCAAAGTGGCTTACAGGGCTACAAAGAAGCAAATTTTCTAACTGTGGCAGCACAGATACTGTGACACTATTTGGGGATTTTCATAGAATCACAGAATCGTTTGAGTTAGAATGGCCCTTTAAAGGTCACCTAGCCCAACTCCCTTGCAATGAACAGGGGCATCTTTCAACCTAAACCATTCCATGATCTACAGCTAGATCAGATTGCTCGGAGCCTGGTCTAGCCTGATTTTGATTTTGGATTTTGTCTGTCAATGATATAGTGGCTTGCTTTCTTTTCTGAACTAGGAAAGCAAAAAGACCCTTTGCTGAGGACGACCATATACCTGAGAAATTGACAGATTTGTCTCCTTTCCAAATGGAATTTTACACGGGGTACTTTGGCCCTTATTCACTTGAGGTCAGAGGCTCAGCAGGTTACAGTCACTCAGCTGTGAGTTGTTGCACCTGGAATTTTAAATTATTTATGAGTAACAGCAGCAAGCCCGTCACTGAAATCTGCATGAGAAAGCACTTAGGTCTGTACATTGCCCTGAGACCAGTACTGTAGCTGTGTACCTCAACAAATACGCTTTAAAGTGTGTTGTTTTGCATCACACTCTGATATTGCTTCACTTCAATCTTGAATTTCATGTACTAAATGTAGTACTCTCAGCTCTTATACAGCCTACGTACGAAGAGTAGAGAAATAACCATTACTGAATTACTGGAGAGAACAGCAGATCCAGAGAAATATAATTCTATTTGAAAACGTAAAAAACACGCACAAGACAATTATTTCCCCTTCTTTCATTAAAAAGGAAATCAAACTGTTTCATGTTAAAAGGAAGACAAAGAAATGTGCCAGGCCAAACACTACTTTCTTCAACTTTTATGATTCTATGATTCAGTTCAGCACTTACATCAAATACATATTTTATTCAGTGTACAATAAATAAGTAAATCTTGCAACGTGTCAAAATAACAGAGTAAGAAACTTGTGTTTTAATAAGATTAGCAGCAATGTATTCATTTTCAAAGATGAATACAAGGATGCACTTCAAATCTTCTATATGATTAAAAGCTAAGTATTCTTAAAAGGTATTCACAGCACCCATCACAGTATCACAATATCCTTGAACAAGTTTCCCTCTTGAGGTATGAGGACACAAAGTATTCTACTTTTATTGTTACCTGAATGTTTCTAGAACAATGAAGAAAATGTTTCAATTATAATAATTGTGACAGGGTTCACAGCTGTGAAACCGAGTCTTATGTTGCCAGACAGCACAAGAAGACAGACAGAAAGAACACTCCTTCCCTAAAGGTCTGGCAATTCAAGGGCACAAAACACATGAGCAGAAGGCCAACTTTTCCTCCATATCACAGATATAGAACACAGAGAGGGGAAAGACAGCAAGAAAAATGATTTATAGCCTAACAGACATTAGAAACTTAAATCCAGAGCTGTAATTCAGGAGGCCCTTTTCAGCTACCGCATCATTCTGGCGCTGCAATCACAACCAACATTTCCTCTCCTGTTTAAAAAGCTCTTTGAGGACTTCAAGTTCTGACAGCCACGATGACATGGCGAAGCAGCATCACAGCATACTGCACTGAGATCCCATCAAAATACAATAAGCTATTCTGCCACACACAGTCTTATTTCAGTAGACTTCCTCAGCGCGCATTATGCTAACCATTAGGCTCAGGCTTATCACAAGGCAGAACAGCAACCACAGTACCATCCCTGGCCTGCCCTTTATAAACGGCTCCAGCGTTAAATTATGAGCTTGTGATTAGCATACTCACACAGGATGTGGGAAACCAGCCATCGTTTTAGAAGATACCAAGGGGAAAGATCAGTCTAGGAGGTGATCACAGGATAACCATGACTCACCAACGTGATTTGGTAGGGGAAAAAAAAAAAGAAAGACGTACATTGAGTCATGAGGGGATATTCCCAGTCAAGGTAGGGAAGAACTGATGTCACCACACAACCCACAAGCATAACTGCAGCTGGCTGCAAGGTACAGGGCTGCTTAGCCCCGTGTAGCAGTGAACTTTTTACTAGAAGAGATGCCAGGATGATGAAAGCAACAGGAGCTCATTATACAGGGATAAGACAAAAACCCATGACTTAAGAAAACTTAAGAAAAGCAAGGTTAAAAGACAGTGTTGGAAGAGTAGAAAATATATACTGTCCAGGTATAAATCTATGATGAATGTCAGAGTTTCTAAACAGGAAAAGAGCAAGGGTCAGGAAGAACCAGAGGAGAACAGAAAACTTTGCTGCATTCCAGACAAAAGACAGGAGTGTGATCACTATTTCAGAGACTGCGTGAATGTCAGGGCCCTGGCACAGCCAGAGAGCAGCCCCAGCATCAGGGAATCCTTCTGCCTGAGGATGTTCATCTCTCGACAGTACACATGGGGCAAGGCAGGGCAGGGGAGGACCAGGATCAGCTTTTGACTGAATCTGTTCACCTACTGATATCTGACCCTGAAAAAACCTCCAGCAACAGCCATCACAAGCTTGCAACATCATACAGTTGATCCAGCTAATAAGGGTGCCTCTGCCTTTGTAGACGATTGAAGAAAGAAAATTGAAGAAAGACTTTCAGAAACAGATACCAAGGTGCTCCTTTGGATAAATTCCTTCTTTCTTACCCCGAACAGTAACTCCATCTAATGTGCTCCTATCAGACCTTAGTTCACCCACAGCACTCTCAAGAAACAACAGCTTGTAACACTTAAAGGGAAGTCAAGAATTCAAGATACGTTCTTAAGTACAAATCATATGATGCTTGAATCAAGAAGCTCTGTCACTTAACACTTTCATGAATTATTTATCAGAGAAAACAACAGGTTTTTATCAAATGTAGTATCTTGCTTAGAACAGCTCTCATTGAAATCTGTAAGAGGTCAGTTTACAAGCAATATTACACCGATGTTTAGCTGTTTTATAACTATTTTTTCTTCTTTAACCGGAAATCTGGCAAGTCTAAATCAGTGCTTATGGTTAATGAGAATGTTGCAGCTGGAGCTTTCCCTCCTGAACAGCTGCTGATGACCTGTGTGCACAGAACCAGTCCCATCTTTATGTCAGCACTGCCCAGCTGTGCTCCCAAATATTTAACGCTTGATATTCTAAAACTTAAAATTATTCTGGATGGTCAAACCTGCCATTACTATGTTAATGTTACAGTTGTAGCAGTCTTCATTTGGTACATACAATGAGCTTAATGCATTGCTATGTGGAAGTATTTATTAATAAATTTATTCCATGTGTGAGATTTAAATACCTGTGAAATTGAATGCTAACATCAAAAACAAAATATTGCTATGGCAAGAAAGAAAAAACGCTTCCTCACTTTTTACCTTGAAGCATGCCATATTCACTCAAACAGAAAAAAACTCAAACCACAGCACTGCCCCCCTCCCAAACCACAGGCTTCTTAGCATCTGCTAAGGGTGTTTGAAAACATACTCTAACAGCACTACTTAACATGAAAAACATATAAAAACTGCAAAGTGGAAAGCGATTTCTATCGTAACTGGTTTCTGTTTGTGTGTTTGTTTTTAAACCAAGTTGCACGCAAACATTTCCTCTGTTTGAACACATCAGAGTTCACTTAAATTCACCCCCAAATTCAATTAGTAATGGACATGAGTTTCCCCTTACTTTGCCAACTACATCACATGAATAGTCCATAAACACTGTAATGCCACCACACATTAGTTAACTGCTACAGGGGAGGAGTGTTGCAGACAATTTCATGCATGTTCTCTCAGGTGCCACACGGTGAAGAAGTACAGGCAACCAATGATGGAGGCAGCTACTTCACACTAAGTAGGACTGGGATGCATGTGGGCTGGGCAAGAATGGTGTCACACACTCACAACTCAGCAGAAACAAAGGCACCCAATCATCTTGGTATCAATTATTATTTTACTCAGTCCTAACACTCCTGCCATGCCAGCAGCTTGCTCAGCATTTGCTCTCCCTCTGGATGCTGCAGTTTGCCCACAGCCAGGATGCACCATTCTGCACAACTGAGAGAGCTTCATCATGCTTCCCCTCCCACCATGCATGCCTGATCTTACAATGTAAGCATGGTACTGCAAGAGTCTTATCCTTTACTACAGAGGCTGAAGTAAGACAATGTAACTGTATTTTTTAATTTTATCTAATGATAGCTTACAGGAATATGAGTGATACTACCCTATTTAAATCTGGGTTTCTGTGTAGAGACAGACCATCAGATCATAGATCATCCCTGTAAAAATGAGTGGTAATTTCAGTTACAATAAAGATAAAAATCTGTTCAAATACCTTTCAAGCATAGGGTTCCCAGTAATAAACAATTAAGAATAAGGCTAGGTTGGATGAGATGTTGGGCAATCTGATCTAGTACTTGATCTAGTGGCTGGCAGCCTTATCTGTGGGAGAGGGATTAGAATGTGATGATCCTTGAGGTACCTTCCAATCCAAGCCATTCTATGATTTTATGAACTGAAGAAATCTTTGAAACATTGAGTATACTTAAAATTTCTAAAAGAGTAAATGACAGCCAACTGACTCAACTGACACTACAAGAGAAATTTTTATATACAGAATGCAATTATACACTGGAATTGAGTCAACATGCTCAAGTGCCTCTCTCAATCATTAAAAGAAATCATCACAAGATGACTCAATTCCACAAAAAGACATATACAGAATAAGCTATCTGTTATGTATTTAAAAACCAGTGTGAAAACAAACACTGTCATAAAGCCTTCTTGCATATATACAGCACATTCAGTGAGATACATGAGATCAGACTTACCATAAAATCATTTGGCTGTGCTCAGCTGAGTGGTCTTTTCTCACGCAAGCAAACCCACAGAAGATTACAATGTCATTTTGCACCAGGAATACACTGCAAAACCAGCTTTCATGCTTATGTGTGCCAGTAGTCTTTGTTGTAATGCATGTGTGATTATGATATTATTTAATTGCTCTCTCGCCAAAGCTCTGGTTATTCTTCCCAGGTTAAAATAGAGAATCAGTTGTTTGTGAAATACCTTTAATCATTTGGCCATCTTCAAATGTAATACTGTACCGAGGTTTTATCTGCATGTTAATCTTTTATTCATTTACTAAACTGGACAGAAAAA